TTTAAGACAAAATATAAATCTAATTGAATATTTCTCAGGAAAATCTATTTAAAAACTCATTCCCAACAAAATTTCTTTTAAAAACTACCATTTCTCTCTTCTCACTATACATACATTCATTAACCGATGAAAATACCCTGTAAATTATTCAAGAAACCGTATTGTTTGCATACATAGTAACATCTTCCTGAATTCGATCCAATGCCAAACATATTCAAACGCGCTACTACTGTATTTATTACGCTCGAATGGCTTTTATCTATCTTCGTTACTTATCGAAAGACAGTAATACTATATTTCTTCATTTTCCGCATGACTTTTGACCCATTTTCCTCTTAAAAAATTGGCAGAATCTGAAAAGTCTCTGTAGCTATTCAAAAATAATCGTATTTTACATTTTGCTCTTATGATATTATGTTGATAATATCATGTATATTTTTAATCTATTTATTTTATATTGTTTTATTATTTTGTTATTTTAAAATTGGTGATAAATTCAAACGAATTTGTACATGACATATTAAAATTGAATATCGAATTATATCTATATAATGTTGAAAGGAGCGTATTCATATATTTTTATAACTTACAAAGAAAAAAAGAGCTCGTACACATACACACAGGTAATAAAAGATAAAATGAAACAAATAAACCCCCAGTGAAAATAATAGTACCACTCAATAACAAGCGATAACTACCAATTGCGAAATCTACCCCATTCAAACGCAATTTTACCCTACAAATACACAGTTTCCCTTCGCAATATTTCAACACCCCAAATGCGATAAAATTTCTCCAACTGTGATCCTATTTGCTTTTCCAAACTTTTGCAAACGACACATAGATACATTCATTGTTTTCTCTATAAACGAACCGTAGTTCCAACAATCAGTTATTGTGAAATATTTCTGTATTTTCGCTAGGAGCTAAAAAACTTTTTCATCGAACTAATAATATAATAATTTTGTGTTGAAATAAATTGTCGTATTAGATATATGTTTATATTAATATTATTATTATGTCATTTTGTAAAAATTGCAATTTTTAATAGTAATTTTTAGATATTAAAACTAAATCTTCAAAAAAAAATAAATATTACAATTATTTATGATCTCTTTATTCTTTTTTCATAAAATTTTGCATTATTTTAAATTTCCATTATTTAGAGAAAATTCTTAGAAAAACATTATTTATCCAATATCTATGTGATTTTTGATAAAATTCATAATCTTAATATGTATAAATTATATTTATTACAGAATAGATATTGTAAAATGAAATATTAAATTCTTTAAAACTTTAACTTTCAATATCAGTAATTTTATATGGAAAATTTAATACATTTCGAAGATATTAATGATTTTTTACAACCTACACAGTCTATTTGACATTTTGCAGAAATATCGCAAAAGGCTGATAATTCCTCGCGCTTTAAAAATTACGATTCTTCCGACCGAGTAAATTTCCTGTATATGCCATTTTATTTTTATTTTTTTTTTTTTTGAAAAACCTAGTTTGAAATATTTTGGCATAACTATAACTAAAATAATATTTTTATAATAAATTTTTTAATATACTTAAAAATTTTTTCTTCTGGTTATATATTAAATAAGTAAAATATACAAGTTCGTTTTATTAATTATTTTGCAATTATAATGAAAAAAAGAATAATTAAGAGTAAAGTTAAAATTTATTATTAGAGAAATCGTTAATCAAATAATATAGGAGTTATATTTTTGAATCCAAAGGATCACAATAAAAGAGGAGGCACAATTTTAAGTTTTCAGAAAGCTTTAGAATCTTATCTTCGACCTTTCACGTGGTGAAAATTTGCATGGAATAAATATCTTCTTCTTACACCCTCAAAAGTGTAGGTGGCAATATCACAGAAAAGATAGTCTTCTAGAAAGAATACCTAATCAAAATACAATTTCTGATTTAACAATTTAGATACTCATGCAAGAATTATCTTTAAGTTTATGAGCAATTTATAAGCAATGAAATACAACAATTTATAAAAAATTGTTATACAAAATAAAGTATCGTTTATTCTAAATTAAATAGAAATAAACTTCATTAATTTAATGATTATAAATATTATAATCTTAAGCATCAAAACTGATATCAATTATTAATATTTATTTTTTTGAACAAATCACTTTGAACAAATCTTTTAAGTTCAATAACCTATTATACAGTCTGTATATGAATTATATTATATATCATTTTTCATATATAATAATTAGATTAATTTCTTATTAAAAAGTAATATCCATGATTCATTAAATATTAGATTATTTAAGATTATATTATATAATAAATTATTATATTTAATATTAATATTTAATGAATTATAGATATTATACACATCCATAATCTTTTAATCTTGTATATTGAAAAATTTTTATAATAAACAAAGAAAAACAATGAATTTAAATAAAACTAAAACAAATTATTATTAAGATATAATTTATTGATTCAAAATGAGTACAATTAATGACAAAATTGTCATCATTTAACTTGATCATTCCAGTTAGATTTAGGTTACATTTCGAGATGAGTTTCTTCAATAATATGCAACAATGAAAATTGTCTTTGAATAGAATTCCAACGGAGAATGGAATTGAAGAATACAAAATAAAGGTGAAGAGATTCAGGAAGATGTAGATTTATCGAGGAAATGTACAAGATGTAGCGCTCTGGAAAATTTAAAAGATCTCTCAAGGTAACACGTTAATTGCACTTGAAGTTTCCTCATTGTCGAGGATGAAATCCATTAAGCTCTTGTTGTTTACATAGCAATTTTTCCTTCTTTTCACTCTCATTCGTTAAGGAATGACGATGCTAATAAGATGAGAAAAAGAAAATGAGAACGAGAAAGAAAAAAACATGGAAATGAATGGCAATAAACGTGACGTAATTCCACGAAGAGCTATAAAAAAATGTCTTGTTACGGGTAAATTGTTCCGTTTGCCCTTTTTCTCTGATTTTTTGCCATTTTATTTTTATGCCTTCTGTCTTATTTCGACAAACATTCTTCGGAAGAAAATTTCAAGTTGTTGAGATAAGTATTAATTGCTTATTATTTATGGGAACTAGTTATTTCTATAATTATTTTTTATAAAAAAGAGAAATTTCTCTTTGAGAAAACTTATTAAGGAAATGACACAGATATGATATTCTTGTGAATTTTAATTCATTCGTTTTTATTCGATTCATTACAATTTTTTATTTATTCATTCATTTAATTTTTTCATATAAATAAAAGGAAATAATTATGGCTTAAGTTGTGTCTCTTCACAATTACAATTTATACAAATGTGCATTCAATTTATTTTTAAGTGCAATTTTATTATTTTAATTATGATAATGAAGCTTTGAATATTTACATAATACTTTTAATTAATCATTATAAAATTCTCCTACTGAATTACCCTATTTATCAAATAATAATCAAATCAAATTTCCCTATAATAGATTCCTTCAAATTTGAAATGATCAAATGTTAAACAAATCTAAACAAATTAATATTATTATACTTATGCTTAAATGAACAAACAATTCTAAAATCAATAATTTGATTGAATATTGCTCCATTAAACTATGTATAACCAATTAAAATGAAGTCTTTATTTTATATAAAATTCTCTTTAAAATAGTATTCGAATACTTTCATGACCTACTGCATTGTCTTGAAAAATTCTTCACACTTCAAGTTTATAGACCATATAAAATCTTCCAACAATTCCGAACCATCTGAAACATTCATATCCACGTCTGCCATTAAAGAAAGCACCGTGACTCGAGAGAAAGATAGATACCTACATTGGTAAATCTCGAAAGACGACGCGATTCCCTTACCAGAAAGCTTTGCAATCTCTCGCTATACATGCGGTGCATTCGTGATATCGCAACGCGATACGTTCCAAGAAACTGTGTGCTGACACGTTTGATCCACAACTAGCACAAACAAGCCCATTTGACCCTCCTTGTCTGTCTCTTGGCAATAATATCCACCTGTATATATTCACGCGTTATAACGCACACGATTATATTCACTGCAGATGAGTACTGTTTGATACCGCATGCTTATGTGTGCATGCAATTAGTAATGGCGAAACTAAGTTAGACACATCAACGTACGATATACATTATCAACCTGATACTCGAGTTGTCTGCAATAATATATCAAATGATATTTAGAATTATTCAGCAAAGTATCGTTTTATTCAGTTTGATGATATTGGAGTATGTGTTAAAATATTTGTAAAAGGAAATTTGAATGATGATTCAAAAGCATAAATATACGATATTTTTTTTGTTTCTTGATTCAAGAAAGCAGCTTCGTGGTTACTTTTTTATTTTTTGTTATTTTCTATTCGATATTATTGCAATTATAAATATTTTACGAGAAATTGAATAAAAATTAGATGAAATACTATTCACTTTAACTAACAGAATTTAATTTCTTATAAAGTTTTTTATATACAAATAATATACAAATCAATTCATTATACATAATTAATCTACAAATTATTAGAAATAATTACTTAAAATTATAAAAAGAATCAAGTAGAAACTACTTTGGAGCAATATTATTGAACATCAAACGCGATATAAGCTGAGGTTGTTCTATCTTTGTGTACGTAGATATTCCTTGAGTAGTTATAGAACCCTCTCAAGAATCTAATTATTGCAGCCTTGGTGTTCAAGGTTTCATCGAGAAAACTCGAGGCGAATACTTCAAAACTTCAGAGTCCGTAAATGAAATCCAACATTGATTGTCCATGTGACTTTTATTAAAATTTCTCCACGTTCATTATTAGCTTTTTTCATATTTTTCATCTTTGATCTGCTTTTCTCATTGTTTAATTTATTTATATTATTTCTTACACATTCTTTTTTTACTTTTTTAAAAATAAATATCACAATTAAATTTTAGCATTTCATTACTATATTTCAAATCATAATACTTCATAATACTTTATTTTTTGTTACAGATGTTTCACTACTTTCACATTCTTCTATATGAGATGGAATTTCATGTGGAATTCACGATGACTTTTCATTGAGCCATATCACTATCAATAGTACATTTCTTCGTATCTAATGGTAAGTCCATTATTATTATTCCTCTAATTATTTAATTACAATTGTAATTATATGAAAGATCTAAAAGTAAATTATTTACGAGTGACAATGTATTCATAATATTTTTCTCTTTTTTTATATATTTACTCATTTTTTATTATTTACTTTATATTAATATTTAGAACGATTTAATTATTTTATTTTTAAATTGTAATAATTGGTATAATTTGAAATTTTATACGAACTGCATAGAAATCCTGTTTTTCATTAATGTATTTTTATTGTTGAATTAATGTAATATTTTTTTAACATAAAATATGTAAGTATAATAAATGTGATTAACATATAATTATAATCATTTTCAAACATAACGAAACTATGTTTAAATTTTTGTAATATGATATTTTAAGACGAATATCATAAAGAGAGAATGAGTTAGTAGAGATGGTAAAATATGGTCAGACATCCAGCAGCTGATAATTTACCGACATGGACTACTGTCGATTCTCTTCAAGCACAGAAACTTTGAAAGGAATACTGGCGCCAACTAGGTAGCCAAGGAAGGAAACCTAAAGAAAATTATCGATTTTTTTCTTACAAAGAAAATGCTTTCTGGCCAAAGATAACAGAAGCACCAGTTCTTATCAGATTACGATAAAAAGATTCTGCAATTTGATTCTAAAATAAAATATATATTATGTTGGAAAATATTTTACATAAAAGAAAAGTTAAAAGCTAACTAGAAAGGGATTTTTAATAAGAATGTTATAATTAATTTGAGAACAAAACAAACACTACATACTATAATAATAAGTAACAAAAAATAATAAATTATACAAGAATTATAAATTATAATTACAAATAAAATGTAAAGTCTGAAGATATTTGAATCAATTTAGATTTATAAATACTCGTTGAAATTATAACTTGAATTTATTCTTAATTTCAAGATATTTAGTGTAAATCTTAATAATAGTTTAAAAAATAAGTAAAATAATTCAACATAATTATGATACTCGTATTCGTGTTACTTTTACACTCCAACTAAAGACGTTGAAATTCAGATGAATTAAGAACACGAAACGAAGATTTCAAACAATGAAACATCATGAAAATATATAATTTAATCCATCGTTTCACGACAAACAACAATTTATCATTCGAATAATAAAAAATATATCGCTTTCTTGTATTTCAACGTTTTCTTTGCAATTAACAACAAGCTTTGTAAAATAACAAATGTACAATAACGTATTCATAAATCTAGTGAGATACATTTTGTGAAAGAATTTCAATTGAACTAAAGTTGGTTAAAGTTTCGACGAACAACCAAGAGCGGAAATACTCGTTATGAGATCTTCTATGCGAAACGAACCACTTTATACCAACTATTAGATGCTTAACAATCGCTTAACGCTCATAACCGCGAATACTATCACAATAAGAAGCTTTATAGACGCGTGTTCATCAAATCTCGCGATTCATCTCTACCCTCGAGGTGGGATTTCGTTCAAGTGGAATTATCATAAACCGGTTCGAGATCATTCTCCATCCAACGATCATGCCACGTTTCATTTCAAATTCTGTATATCGAGTATGATTGCATTGAATGTTTCCTAATGGGCGATGGAAGATATGAAAAATGCAGGATTATGAGAGAACTGAAAGAAGGTATGAAATATTTTATACATATTACGTATACAGTTGAATACGTAATTTTTAATAATATTTTAATTATTTTAGAATTAAATTATTTCATTGGAATTTTTATTTAAAAATAAGAAATATCTTAAGTGTATAAATATCTTTTAGATTGTTAGAATTAGAATTTCTTTAATGATAAATTTAGAATTAAAAAATAGAATTTTTTGATTAAAAATATTCTACATATAAAATATATTTTTAAAAATAGTGTTACACGAGTCATTTTTAAAACGAAGAATATATAACACATTTTTTTCTTCTTCTATGTAGTTAAATATGATTCTGAAAACGCTGACCATTTTATAGTGTCTCAGAGGATTTTAATTATTTATAAGTCCCAGCAGAATTATAAACATATTTGTATGAGCAACGCTTTAATACAAGTGGTATTAGCGTAAGGACAATAAAGGGTTAAAAAATGTTGTATATTTAAATGAAATTATTTTTACATTCTATATTTAATTAAATAATTAAAAAGTTTGAGTTTCTTCCTCCTCTATTATATATCTTATCATATCATTTTGTATCTTTAAAACTTATACACATTTTTAAATATTAAATATTGTTTTAATAATTTCGATTTTCATATAAAATCCATTTTTCCTCGCAGAAAACGAATATTATTAAACGTTTCAAAAACGTGGATCCTAATTATTTCTTTGAAATAACAAAGTAGCTATCTCCATTTATTCAACTTCTTATACGGTACTATTGCAGAACTCATGTGCAATCCATTTGTCCATTTCCTCCACTTTTCCTATTTGAGTCAATGATGAATAATAGAATAGATTACTTCCATTTGAGATGCCATTTCTCTCGCTACTTTTCGTAGAAACATTATCGTCAATAGTCTTCCTCTTGTTCTTCGTTTTCGAAAGAAATATTATCCAATCTCCAATCTCTACCAACCATTGGGCTAATGCTAACACAACTTTCTTCAAATCTTTAATTCATTTCATGCAATTCTATCGTCACATTTTCCAACTTTTTAAACTCATAATAAACTTTTCAATCAAGGATATCTTATTTTATAGTGGAAAAGTTTCAGATTGGTTTCAGAATTTGCGAAAAAATCTTTTAAATATATAGATATACAGGTATATAGATATATAGAATTATTCAATGTCCATCTGTAAATGATCTTGAATTCTAGAATGGATAAGGATGCCATAGGATTAAACGTCAGACTTGTTCTTCCCGTAAATGGAAATTGCTCGATACAACCGACTCCTATTTATCTTTATGGAAATTCTTGAGCTCCAGCCTCGCGTTTTAATATTCCAGAAATACCGTCGCGTGAGAGATTCTACCCTTCCACCGTCCGAGAAACTGTTCTCCAATTTATTCTCCCCGTGGGCTAGGTGTTACCTCACCTTGACAATTTTTTGCCCTCTTATTAATCTGAATTCCAATTTATCAACACGAAGAATAAGAGTTCGTCGAAGCGACCGACGTTTAAGTTCGTAATAAAGTAAAAGTCGTCTCGAGTTACTGCGAAATATATTACCCGGCTCTCATTTCACGAAATTCTATTAAAAATTGCATTAAAAATCTATCTTTCAGGGAAAGCGGTAACTCTTTGTTTCTTTCTCCAAGTCTCGCAATCTCCTTTCTTATTTCTCTTCGAGATATAATCCTAGTGTAAGAAACAGATGCGGCACAATATAATCCTCTTGGCGAAAATGGTTGGAAATTAGTTAAGGAATACGTCGAGCCTTTTTTTCCTCGAAAGGAAGAACCGGTTGCAACGATTGCATATGAATCGAATTAATGCCAAATGATAATCTTCAACGATCCCCGGAGGCATCTATATTACAAGAAGAACACGCTATTCTACAATTTCAGGGCAAATAAACATGAAGGAACTACGCAGTAATACGTCAGCCATTTTTAATGATTGCATTAAATCTTGTCTTGAATTAGCGCGATCGTTTTACGACTGCCCATCTGTAGTCCATCTTGAGATTTATTCCCCCATTTTGTGCGCAGCTTCGTTCTCCATCTGTTCGATGTCACGTACGCGTTATTTTGGTATGGAAATGTTACGAAAATATGAGAATTTCGAAACTTGAAACGAGTATTCTTTGAATCTCTCGATGGTGACAGTAATATTAAATGTAATTGGGTTAGATCAGCTTAATTTTTATTCTTTTGATATTACAGTATGTATTATTATAGAAATATTACGAAAATAGTAAATTAGGTTAAATTTTGTCGTCATGTTATGTCTGTGTTATTATGATATGAAAATATTAGGAAAATATTTCGAAAACAAATATGAAAACGAAACGAATATTGCAAGGAATATCAAATCAAAAGTTTCAATATTAGTGATGTTAAATATGATTAGAACAAAATAATGTTATAAAATCGTGTATTTAATAAATATTATTTTATTTATAGTTTAATATTATACAGAATATTTGATAGAATTTTAAAGAATTTCTAAACAAAATTCATCTGTTTACACATGTGAACGCAACACCACAGAATAAATTTCTTCAAAGCAAGGAAACCGAATTCTTTTAAGTATAAAACCAATATATTGAAAACCCGTCATGTCTAGGAGGAAGCTTGTTTTGAAAGTCTTACAGAGCAAAAGGAAGCTTTTCGCGTTTTATATTTCCACGTGTCAACGTTCTTTGTCAAAACAACGTCCACACTTCAAAAACCTATAACATAAACACGGAATTATTTTATGAAATGTCATCGCACTTGTCAAACATCACTTCCTTTGAAACAATGTTATAAGCTTTTGACAAAAAACCATATTTCTTTCGGTGGTAGTCAAAATAATATTCTAACGCGAACTTTAAACAATTTATGCATAAAATGTTATAAATATCCGATTATCGAATTAATGGATATAATGATCGATGCATTTGCTATACGAGAATTCAAAATAATTTTATACTTAATAAATTATAATATCAAATAATATTGAATAAAATCGCGTTACGTGAGATCATAAGATTACATAAAAAAAAATTATTTTTCATTTTCTTTTAAATTTGAAATATAATCTTTATAGGTGAAAACAGTTAAATAAAAAAAAGGTATAGCTTTATAAAAATTATATTATTTAATATATAAACCATTAAATGAAATCAGAATCATTTATCAAAGTTTATATTAAAGTTATATAACAATTGTATTTTTTAAAATAATTTTTATTTAAAAAAATTATTTTCTTTTAAACGTATCTATATAATTTTATTGTGGGTATTGTTCTTCTTAAATAAAATAACGATATTGAACAGTGACAAATGACGTTTAGAATTTAATAACAATATAAATTCCGTTTATAGATATTGAGTTGATACATTATTCATTACAATACTTTAATATACAAGTCAAATCAGATTTTATTAATATGCAAATAATATGCGCATGAACATTTAAATAATTTATATAATTATAGTGCATATGAATAGGAAATAAAAAGAAAAATCTACAGATATAATTTTAATTTGAATTTAAAAATAGAAAATATTGATCAATTGATAGAAATAAAATTTAATTATTCAATTGATTACAAAATAATATTATAACAGAGTAAAAAACTAATAAAATGATACGTTTATATATTTTAATCGGTTTTATAAAAGATAATTTTTACATATACAAATATATTTGTCATTTCATCTCTTTTAATATCATTATATTTAAGAAATTTCATCTCGATATTTTTTCTTATTTCTACTTTTTTTATATGCATATATCGTGACATCTTTTTAACGGAATATAAAATCTGACCTTATAAAAGATCTTTTTGCAAAGTAAAAGCCTTTGACAATCTACTTGAACCTTATGCATCTTATCATAGTGCATAAGGAATATGGTCAGGCGAGAATTGATTCTTTTTTACAACGCTTTGTCCGCGTAAAATGTATAATTCACGGAGGAATAATCTTTAAAAACTTCAAAGAGAATTTTAAACGCGAGAATTAAGTTTCAAATAACGATTATTCCACGTTACATTTCATCTTACGATCGTTAATCATTAATAACGATTAATAATTTATAACTCCAATTCTCTATTTTGTAATATTTCATAGTGTGAAAAGTTGTCACTAAATTATATTTCAAAAGCTTCAAAAACTTTAAAAGTTCTTTCATAAATTTCACTGTTAACTTAACTCTTAAATATATTTCTGAAATTATTATTGATTGATAGTATATACGATTAAATATATATTACGTATCGATATCCATTCATGAAAATTATTTACAAATTTTATAATAATGGATTGATAATTAAATATAATATTATTTAACAGGAAATTTTATTTCGAATTATATTATTCATTTCATTTGAAATACATGTGATGCATTCCACATGTGACATATGGAATTTAATATATGAACAATGTATTAAATTAACATTCTTTATCTAATTATTTATTTATATTTATATTTATTAGACAGATTATCTGTTTATATGTTAATATATAATATAAATAAATATCATATAAATTGGATATAGATCTTTATTTCGAGCTTTACTTTCTCGTAATATAACAAGAAAATACAAATTCTATTTAAGATTCCTTCTTTTAACTTAATAAAGAACTTATTTCTATATCGTATAAACGCTGAAAATAAAAATAAAATATAAATAGAAAATTAACAAAATTAATTAAGAAAAATATCTGATATATACATGTAATTATAACAAATTATAAAAATTATAATATTTCTTCAACTTATTCCTTTTCTTATCTTATTACTGGACAATCTAATCTCATTCTAATTATTGAATTATTCAAGAGTTAAAAAAACAAAAATGAAATATGCATGAAGAATCGTCTGAAGATTGAAAAGATTAAGCAGATTGTTAAACGTTTTTATTTATACAACGCCTGGAGATTGAATTGAATTAAACTGCGAATTGAATCTTTCATTCTATTGAACCACTAGAGACCTAGAATAAGCACTACTAACCCAGATTCTCGAACAGTAGGAAGACAAATATTCGATTGGTTAATTTAAAAGTAAGTTATTTTACAAAAAAATAAAGATTAGCAAGAGATAGACTTTGCTTAAGCAAAAGACATTTGAATTTCACGTGCAATGCTAAATAGTATTGGAAATTTCTTCTAAAAATTGAAATTATTTATCTCTTTTCTTTGAAATTGTTTGAGTTTAAACTCTTTAAAATTTCCTTGATTAAAGTTTTGAAATTTTTTCGAGTAAATATTATGATATACATTATTAATTCTTATACAATATTAATTTCTATTTATCCATTTTGAAAATTCATTTTTCCAAATTTTATTAATTTCCTTCGTAAATTACTAATATTCATCTATCACATTTATCTCATATCAAATTAATCTCATATATATTTGTCTCAATCTTGTTTCTTCTGCACAATCCCAATTGCTTCGCTAATTAGTTCATCATAACAGACGGTAAATTTCCACTTTCGTTATATAATTCGCCGAACTTAATACACTGCTCTGTGGTCAACATATCGAGAAGGAGATAGAGTTATTCTAGCACGTGGAAACCACAATGCACGGAAGTTCGCGTGTGCATCGGCTTCCGATTAGAATGTGTTATTGACTTGTGGACCAAGGACACCCATTTGCGATGTATAATTCATATTATTAATGAAATGGTACCATTTCCGGCGCACGTGTTAGATTATCGTTACGGTGAACAACTCGTAATTGCTATAGAAGGAAGCACTATAGTAGACGATCCTCTTGTGATTGCGCAAGTTCATTGGCAATTTGAAATATTGAAATTAAAATGTGAATTGAAAATTTTAAAGATATCAGGTAGAAGATAGAAATTTTGAAAATATATTTAGTATATATTAAAAAAATACTTGGTCGATATTGTTTTTTAAAATGGAAATCATTTTTTTTTTCAGCATTGTGAATTATATGAATTTTATTCGATAAAAATTTCAAAAAATAATATGCTAGTTTTTTTAAAATGTGCGTTTTAATAAAAGATATCACATATAACTATCGCATATACATGATTTTTTACCAGTTTAACGATTTTCACAATTCTAGATAAAAATTACAGTTTTATCGAATCATAAAAGTAAAAATTGAATTTTATTTCAAATAAAATATAAATACAATATTGCATCAAGAAAAAAAATATAATAAATTTTATTTTATTTCTACGTACCGTTAAAAATTTATTTAACGTAATTTGTAACCATTTTTTTAATCATTCGTTAATTTTAAATTTCGTCATTTGATATAAATTAAATCAGTGTCTTATCGATTAACTGATGAATGCATCGTTTAAACAGGCAACAATTAACGTCTGCGATAAATATCCCGTAAATGGCGGAATAATTAAAGAACTAGTATCATTGGAGATCAAACAGACATCGAGTCAATAGAATTAATTAAGTTAAGGCCACACGAACGACCAAATTTGCTAACAAGTGTATTATATTCTGTACATTATTTTATTGCGTGCAAAATCCATTCATTCCATAATAAACGTGATGACATTAAGCAAATGATTTTATTACATGATCGAATGTTGAATTGTTTACGCGTTTATTGAAAAAAAAATCGATTGTTATTCATTGTTCTTCTTTTCAGATGCAGGAGAACAAAGAACGTTACATGTAGAGATTGATGATTATTAGCTAGACATGTTCTATAAGATATGTACGTGTTCGAGTGACAGTTTTAGTGACTGCTGTTCTAACTAATCAATACCGAAGATTGATATAGTGTGTCACAGATAATTCCAATTCAGTCATATTTAGAATTTAATTTAATTCAATATAAATATACTCTATGAGAGAGATTTGATAATCTTAAACTAAAATTATTATCTGTTTAATCTATTAATGATTGACATTTCATACAATTTATATATTGTTTTTATTAATAATTATATATTGGAATATATTTTATATATTTTATTTTATAATTATAATAACATATATTTTTATTTCAGATTATCTGGAAGAAGATCATTTGATTTGATTTGGAGATCACTTGAAGATTAAAAATGGAGGATTAAGATCATCTCAAGATCAAGATCCATTTGAAGATATTACGATAAGTATGTTTCCTCAATTATTCTATTAATATTTTTTAATAATTTTGTTTATCATTTTTTAGTGAATTTATTAAAACATCTAAATTAATTTCCTTACAATAATTAATTGATGGATATTACAATCATAATTTATCCTCATTCTCATCAAAGCGTCTAATCATTTTAAATGGTAATATATGTTACAATTTTATATGATTACTAATATTTCCAATAATCTTTAAATTTTCAATTCTTCAATTTCTATTCGAATTGATTCAATATTCCTATTCAACGAATAAATCATGAACATCGTTAAATTATCCTAATCATTCAATGACCCAAATCTCGCTCATTTCAACTAAATTAATTACATATCCAATCTCTAACAAACCTCAATTCACCTAATCAAGAATTAAATCAATCCGCTATCAACCTTACTATTCCCGTCGGTTTTATCTCCCTAATACCACGATTATTCCGTAATCCCTTGATGCGTCATTTCAAAGTAAATCTCAGTGCTGTGAAAATTGAAAAATCATCCGTCCAACCGTCAACGAGTCCGAAACACGAGCAAAATCTCGTCTCTGTATCATTGTAATCCCTTGTTCGCGTAGGTAGGAGTGAAAGTGACAACGAGGAGAATAACTCGACGTATAATCAGCCGTGTACGAATACAAGCAGTGGTATAAGTAATCCAATAATCGTGGAACGAAGCCGACCAGCTATCTAAGAAGCTTAATTTTTACACGAGGGTGCTTCCATCGTGGTAACCATCGTTTAGTTTTTTTTTTTACGTATGTATGTTTAATTAAGAGCTAACATTGTAAATCGTATCGTTTGTTTGTTATTGGGATATATGTGGGTTTATAGATAATAAATATCTATTTACACGTGATTAGTTTTACGATACGATTGGGATAATGCCATTTTTGAAGAAAAATAAACTTTAGAGTTTTTAAGGATTGAAAAGGTATGTAACACAATTTTCTATTATTATTCATTATTATTTTTTATATCATTTTTAATATCAATCTAATATCAATCCAATTTAATATCAATCCAATTCAGTTTAATTAACAATTTTTCTTTGACATGACACGAAACGAAATTAACATATCGTTAATTAAATTTCCATTTAATATTTCCTATGAAATAGAAGAAATCTGAAATTGCCAATCTTTCGAATGAAAAGTTTATGCTCAACATTCGATTATAATTTATTCGCAATTAAAATTTCGTTTCGTTTCACGTTCGGAATTAATTACGCACGAACGTTTAAAATTGAATAGGATGATAATACGTAGCTCTTTTGGGAAATGGAATACATTCGAAAACAGAACGAACACCTATTTAATATTACATCAATGACTCGTGACGAAAGAAAACACGTCAATTGCTCCCAGCGTTAACATACCAGTCTTTGTAGTTTTACATGTCAGCCGTTCGTTTGAATGTTTCACGAAAATAAATTATGCGCCATATTTAAGGTTATTTATTTTATATAAATCGAAGGAAAGGATTATATTATTTTAGAATAGAACAGGGAACTCTTTTATCTCGTATTTGCATATTTGAAAGGATAGTATCGAAAATAATGAAAAGAAATAATGAGCAAGTGTTAGCGTTATTTTTGCAAAAAGTATTCACGTTTAAAATAAGATAATATCATAACGATTGATATATGCTTAAAATGCAGGTTTCCATTGGAATTCGAATAGTAATACGTATTGAAACATATTCGAATTGAAAATGTTTAAAAGCTTTCAACGATTAGAGAGTTTTAAATAAAAGTTTTGCCGGATAATATTCTCGAAAAATGAAACATTTTTCTTCTCAATTATATACAAAAATCATCATAAAAATAATCCTTTAATGTAATAATTAATTTCCTATATAAACATAGTTATTTATGATATATTCTGATTATTATTATATTAGATGAACAATTTGTAATATAAAGATTCTTTCATTAAATTGGAAAATGAATCTGCTCGTTTTATTCTGTGACTATATTGAATTTTTATTTTTTCTGGAATAATCCTTTTAAAGTTTTAAGTACAAAGAACAGATGAATTAAAATTTTACATGGTATCCTTTAATACCTTTCATGGTTCTTCGCAGAGTAATTTCTGAATAATTTTTTTTCTATGCAATTTTTTTTATCAAAATTTAAAAAATTATTCGTTACAAAAAAATACGTTAAATAATAATTCAGTAATTTTTTATCAAATTTTCCGATAATTCAATTAATTTGCTTTCCTTTCGACTTAATAAATTTTATTATGAATTCATATGTCATCTCAATATCTCAATATTTTAATTTAAGATATTCTATTAGATTCTTTCTATTTTTCAAATACAATAAAATTTTATTTAAAATATTCTATATAATTAAAATGAAAGAAATTCTAATAATATCTTAAATAATAGTTAAATCTTTTAATTGGAATTTAAAATTTTGTCGTTTCATTTTGAAAAATAATAATTAAAAAAAAATAAATAATTAAAAATAATTAAAAATAATAATATTATAATAAAAATATTAAATGGTAATAATACAAAAAAACAATATTTATTTATGAAACCACTGAATATTTCGAAAAAAAAAATCCTTTAAAAGGAAACAACCTTATTGAATGATGAATCGATGATTCTCGCGTTAATTTGTGATTTGATTTGACTTGGTTGATTTGAGTTGTAATTCAATTTGACCTGCTCGATTAGAAAATAATTGTGCGAATTTCCGCTGAATTCTTCTCGGTTTGAGTGTCGTTCGATCCATTTTGGTTTGATAATGAATCATCCTTGAACTCTGCACAGAAAGTTCAAGCAAAAATATCATTCTCCTAGTTATAATCTGAAGATTGACAATCATCATTTTATTACTCTCCCTTTCGTTGAATTGCAAGGATTATATTTTCATAAATTAATATTTCATTGTAAATTTAACATTCTAAATTTCTTCCTTCTAAAGATAGATTATCTAGATTTGTATAAATATTTCAAGTCTTTTAAATCATTATTTAATATTCTCTGTTATTTAACAATTTTTTCATTATATAATTATTATTTCTTATTACTCATAATATTTATTATTATGAGATTATTATTGTACAGATTAACAATTAAATTGTAGAAAATATAGTATTTAGAAATGAAACATGTTTGTAGAAATTAGAAATTAGAGATCATTGTTGGAAGTTTAATAGTTTTTACATATTTCATAATATTTTGTTCAATATGAAAAAATGATTTGAATTTATATTCCAATTTTTATTATTATTATTTGAATAATGCAATATGTTTTTTGAATAAATAAAATAATCGTAGCAATGTAGTAAATAGAAAATTTTCATTTATAGTATTTCATAAAAGTAATCCTGTCTTTAAGAAATGAAATAATGAAAAAATTGTTGTTTTAAAGATTTATAATTAAAGCAAAAAAGTAACGCGTAAAATACTAAATATAATAAGAACAACATTTTTAAAAAGATGCAAATTATTAAAAGAAATTTTGTAAATATTAATTTATTATTTTGATTAATCAAACATCTTTTTTAAAATTTCAAACTTTTAGCTATCATGAAGTTAATTTTAAAAAAAAATAATATAAATAAAATTCCATAAATCTTAATTTAAGATTTTTTAATTTCTCACTATATAGAATAAAATTATACATTAACTAACAATTCGCAAACATCATTATAAAATTCAAGCAAGCGTTATAAAACTTTTGATAGGACGATCTTCCATGATTTCTTTACGAAGACGAGTCCCGAAGTCTTGAAAGTGATTTTCTAAAAGTTGAAATTACTCGTATTCACTCGTATTTGTCAGGAAAATAATCAGTTTTCGGTTTTACGGATGCTTTTCAATTTCTCTTGAAAAATACCAGCACTGTTCTTTTACTATTCACTTATTAAAATCGATTTTTGTGCTTGCATACGATGCCAATATCTCGCGTTTTCTCTTCCGCATATCTTGTGAGTTCTTTACTTGACTTGAAAATTGAAATACGAATTTTAGAAAAGAAAATTTATTTTTATGGAAAATAGCGAATTCTAAAACAAATATAATATAGTTCTGTGTATAATAAAATAAATATTTTTATTCAAACTGGAAGAGTGTTGTAGTTTTATTTTCAGATGAAATTTTTTTTTTTTATTATTATTTTTCTAGAACATTGTATTATATGTATACTGTATTTATAATTAATCTAGCACAAAATTTAGCCCACGAGCATATAGATCACTTGTAATAACGAAAAGAGAGGAGGATTGCAATTGAGTAATTAAAATTAATTAATCCCTGAAGAATACTATTTCTGTCTTGTAATGTACACCACCGATGTAGCGTTAATTCCACAGGGTAAAATTACTATTCTCTATCTCAAAATTTCTACTTCTCGTTGCATATACATGTACAACACGATGTAACGGTATAGTCATAAGTAAGGGAAACAATCTTAATTAATAAATAATTGCCAAACTTTTAAATTCAACATAACATACATTTTGTTAAACAAAATATATGAAATATACAATTCATAACTATGAAATCACTCCAACATCGAACTCAACAAGTTATTGATTTAATACGACACGAACAGACCGAGCACTCAGACTTTCAAAGCATTTAAATAGAATTTCACTTCAGTTTTATCCATCACACAAGCTTTTTCCGATTAAATGGCACATATTAGAGGATCCATGATAACATAATTTACATAATGATACATAAAACTATAATATTATAGCATCTCGTTTCGTGAAAAATTCATTATATAATGATTCAGAGAATTGCTTTCGATATTTGAAAATATATTAAATATTCAATAAAGTGAAATAAATAAAAAAAAACATTTTTATTATTTATCTCATATGTTCGCGTATTTTCCTTTATAAATATTGTATATTTTTCAAGTGTGCATGAAAATGAATTTATTCGTTCATTCATTATTTTAATTTACTTTTCTATGATTAAATTAAAAGTAGTTTATTTTATCAAATTCAAACTATAAATTATCAAATTTTTTATACATATGATTATATTTATAATTATTAATTAAAATTCGCTGGTAGAAATATTCGTATAATTATTTATTAATTAAAAAATAGATAAAACAATTTAAAATATTTTTTACTCAAATTTACCAGCTATGTGTAACTAATATAAAAAAAAAAATCTATCGTCCGACAAATAGAATTTGATATTTGAAAGTTTGATAGCCAATAACGAGATTTTCCTAGTGAATATGGGGGGGTTAGGTAAGAGACAATAACAGCTGCGTTTATAATCCCAGCCTAGACACATAATCAATTGCACGATAATTTCTTATCGTCGATAATTCGAAATACGCTTTGGTAATTATGCGTTCATGCGACATAGTTATATCCAATTATATCTGTGAAATTATATCTCCAATTAAAGCCACGTGCTACAACTAATGATACGAATTGCCAAAATTTATTTCGAAAACGTGAAACTTTTTTTAATTAATCCTATGTAATTTTAATTCGAATTTTACCTTTATTGAATCATTTTCAAAGCTATTTTATAAATAATTCAAAAAATGTTCTTCAATATGTAAGATAGATAATTTTAATTTATTTTTTATTTATTTTATTTTCTCAATCATTTCTATCTATCCAAATCTTATTTTATCCAAATCCTCAATCTTAATTTTTTGCTACATTAAAGTTACAAATAAATAAAATTCAATTCAATTAAATTAATGTACACAATGTTCACAAAACAATACACGTTTTCCTTTATTCCTACTATGCTGAGTCTTTAATTTCATAATCTCGTTTCACAAAGTAAAAAATATATTCTCTATCTATCAACAATCAGAGACAAGAGATTATTTCTCCGCAAAGAGTTAAAATATAATATTCACGTTTATCGAATAGAAACGTTCAAGAAACGTTGCGTCGTTCCCATTGACAACTGAA